AACAAAAGAAACCAAGAAGGCGAGGAACATGGATAGCAGATGAACCTGCTTCTTGTCCCACCAAGTAATGTTCGGGTCCCCGGCCAGGAGCTGCCTCAGCATCCCCGAAGCACCACATCTCTGCCTGCAGTGGCGTGGCGTCGTGGAGGAGGTTAGGCTTTGTCAGGCCAGTTCAGCGCCAAAGCTGGGTGCAGCTGAAGGGACTCTGTGGGAAGCCTTCACTCCCTCCTGGCAAAACGGCTGGGTGGCCAGGGTATGAGTTAAGCTTTTTCTTTTCTTTTCTTTTTGACCTTTAAGTTGAAAATATTTTTAAGTTTAAAATAATATTTATTTAAGTTTAAAATAATTTTAGGGGGCTGGGGATTCAGCTCAGTGATTTGGCTGCCTGCCTCACAAGCACAAGGACCCAAGTTCGATCCCTGGTACCAAAAAAAATAAAATAAATAAAAAATAAAATAATTTTAGACTCATAGAAAGGTTATATGCCAGGCATGGTGGCACATGCCTGTAATCCTAGCATTCAGGAGGCTGAGGCAGGAGGATCGCTGCAAGTTCGAGGCCAGCCTGGGGTACACAGCAAGATCCCTGTCTCAAAAAAAAAAAAAAAAATTATATTACTCTTTAGCTTTCAAAATTGAAAATTTCCTGTTTGCATACCTAGAGTAAGTTTTTCTCTTTTCTTTTCTCCCTTTGGCCGTACTGGAGATTAAACCCAGGACTTTAATACTGAACTACATCCCCAGCCCTTTTTCTTAAATTTTTTATTTAGAGACAGTCTCCCTAAGTTGCCCAGGTGGGACTCAAACTTGTGATCCTCCTGCCAGCTTCCCAGAGTGCTGGGATTACAGGTGTGTGTCACCGTGCCCAGCTTAAACTACTTTGTATAAAGCTAATACTGAAGATGTTCCCCTTAGGACTACAGGCTGGTGAGGCGTGGGTAATACCCTTACTTACTGCTCAGAAGCCGCTAGTTACCAAGTACTTTATACATAAAGATCCCCTAAGACTGAATCCTCTCAGTGCTCAGTGTCTAGAACCAATTTCCGGTAAGCTGCCATCTCCTCGAAGACCATGGGATTAACTCAGCCCACTAAACAACCCTCCTTGCCTGCTGGGAGGCTCAGAACCAGACTTCAGTGTGAATGTCTTGTAGTCTGTTGTTTTAGTTTTGTCTGTCAGTGTTTTTCCTACAAACAGCCTCCAACACTTCCTAAAGGAGGAGAGGTTTCTCTGAGATCTGCTTTTACCAAAGTGGATCAAGGGCGAAAACAGCCAAATCTGAGCATCAGAAGACCTTCCAGTCTCCCTGATGCATGGTTTATGTAGTTCTGGGAAGCAAATCTGTATGATCAAACAGGCTGTGTCTGGGTGTGTGTGGGTGTGTGGGTGTGTGTGTGTGTGTGTGTGGTGTGTCTGTCTGTTTAATCAAACAGGCTGTGTCTGGGTGTGTGTGTGTGTGGTGTGTGTCTGTCTGTTTAGTTTTTTTTTTTTTTTTTTGGTACCGGGGATCGAACTCGGGACCTTGCACTTTTGAGGCAGGCACTGGAACCACTGAGCTAAATCCCTGGCCAAGGCTAATCATTTCTAAGCAATGATGAGAAAAGGTTTTACTACTGTCCTTTATAATTTAATTATATGTAAGTATAATTCTATACTTGACCCGAGCTCAGAATTGAAAAAATAAAATAAAATGAAGAAATAAATAAATGTAGAAACAGAATTAAACAGTGCAGGACTTTAGATTAGGATGGGAAAGAGTAGAAGCAAGCAGAATTTCCAACAAGAGGAGGAGGTCAGGCAGGCAAGGGTAAGGAGAGGGAGGCGAGCAGTGGAGAAGGGGATTCCCAGCCCTTGGGCAGCCCGCAGGCTAACAGTTGGCCCTGGAGGGCTCTTCCCAAGGAGCTGGGTGGGATGGAGCAGCTGGGTGGCTTGGGCAGCCCTGACCACCACTTTCTCTGCCCTGACCCTGCAGGTTTGGCCCCTACTACACGGAGCCGGTGATCGCTGGGCTAGACCCCAAGACCTTCAAGCCCTTTATTTGCTCCCTGGACCTCATCGGCTGCCCCATGGTCACTGACGACTTTGTCGTCAGTGGCACCTGCTCAGAGCAGATGTACGGCATGTGCGAGTCTCTTTGGGAGCCCAACATGGTGAGCTCTGGCATGGGAGGACGTGGGGACCGTGGGCAGGGACTTCCTGCAGCCTTGGCTGGCTCTCGGGGTCCCCACATCTTCACAGCATGGCCCTGCAGCAGGAGGTCTGGGTGGAAGCCTGGTTAAGGTGGTGCTTAGTTAATGTGAGTCACTGTGCCCCATGCGACACTGTCACCCACTGTGGAGAGGGTCCCTTGAGGGTACATAGTGCTGAGAAGGGGAGGAAGGAGAGGGTCTGGGGCAGGGGGCGGGCCGAGCAAAGGCACAGGAAGGCCAGTCGAGCTCCGTGACAACAGAGAGGCAGAGTGTGGGTGTGAGGAAGCTGGAGATGCAGACTGGGAAGGGACTTCAGGGGCCTTGAATGCCACGCCAAGGAGCCTGAGTGCTTTCCTTCAGTGTAAGGGACCTGAGGAGTCAGGGGCCTGACGCTGGGTGACACCTGAGGCCTGGAGCAAAGACAGTGGCAGTGGGAAAGGAGGGTGGCCAGAGCCAGAGGATTTGGTCCCTTAGGCCCCGAGTGCAGGGATGGCGAGTGTCCTCAACCACAGGGGCAGGTGCGGGCCGTGGTCAGGCAAGCTAAGGTTTGAGGTGCCTGGGGCATCCGGGGAGTCTGCCAGGCTGAGCCCCGTGAAGGGACATGCTCAGCCCAGCAGGGGCCAGGCTTCTCACCCAGGGTTGCACTGCTGGCTAGCAGGGAAGATGCTAGAACCCTTCACAGAGTGCTCTTCCTCCCAAGGAAGTCCCCAAGGCTGGGGACCTAGGCCCAGAAAGAGGGTTTGGGGGCGGCCTGAGCACGGCTCTTCAAGGCTCTGCCTGTTGCAGGACCCGGAGCACCTGTTTGAGACCATCTCCCAAGCCATGCTGAACGCCGTGGACCGCGACGCCGTGTCAGGCATGGGCGTGGTCGTCCATGTCATGTGAGTGGGGTGAGGCGGGACAGGCCAGGTGCAGGCACAGGTGGCCAGAGCCCACGCCTCCGCTGGTGTCCCCAGAATCGGGTCTGTGTGGGCGTGACCGCAGCGGGCCCCGCCCAACTCCTGGCTCGCTGCACTGGGCTCTGGGCACCGTTTGCCCCTGAGCTGACTGGGTGAGCAGGTGTCCTTTTCCTCACGACACCTGCTAGCTTACCATGAAGAGCACAGCTGACCACCCTGGTTCCCGTGTGTTCCTGGGGTGACACGTGTGCACACACGCGCGCACACCCTAAGCTGGCCCCGGCCTGGCGTCCCCCAGCATGCGCTCTGCCACTGAGCCACCTGTTCCCAGGCCTGGGGCTCCTTCCCCTCTCCCAGTCCAGCCCTGAGCCGTTTTCTGGGAGAGGCTCCCCTAGGTGGCCACCCTACAGCAGCACAGTGCCCTTCGGAGAGGGAGGTGCCAGGGCTATGGAGGGAGGCGGGCCAGCGGCACAGTCTAGGTGGCTCCATGTTTCTCGTGACTTTCTCCCTCTGCAGTGAGAAGGACAAGATCACCACCAGGACCCTCAAGGCCCGGATGGACTAGCCCTGTTCTGGAACCTTCTTTTTTCTTTTTTTTAATAAAGTAGCCTTTCTTTCGTTCCTGCTTTGTGGTCTTGGATGCTTTCCCACCATTCTGTCCCACTTGGGGAGGTACAAAGACCTAGAGCTTCGCTCAGCCCTCAGTTTCCTTTTTCTCTTTTGCTGCAGGGGACTGCACCCTGGGCTTCAAGCAGTGCTCTCCCCGCTCAGCTGTACCCGGGAGGGCTTTCTTCTCGATCCGGGCTCCTCCGGGCTGTGGGGTGACAGATGCCTGTGCTGTGCCCTCAGGGATTGAATCCTGCAGAGCCCTTTAGAGATGAAGGGCCGTTAAACAGCTCCTCCAAGGCCACTTCAGGTTAGGGGGTGCCCGGATGCCAACCTGTTCCACTCAGCGCCAAAGCCCAGCCTCCTCCCCATGCTCACCACAAAACTGAGACTTCTGTTGCTGTTTCAGGCAGAAATGTGGCCCAGTGCCCATGCACACCTCTCAGCGTACTGCGGTTGCCTGCAGCCAACAGCACTCTGGTGCCACAGTCCTATCTTGAGATGCCGCCTTCGTGACCTTCTGGGGGCTTTCCCTTCCTTTTAAAAGTTCCCCTGGGGAGCCCAGCTTGCAACCTCAGTAGACACCCCAGCAAACAAATGGGCTGCTGGTACAGTGCTCCCAAATATGAGCCTCTCCCGTATTCCAGCACACGCTTTATTTTTTTTTGCAGTACTGAGGATTGGACCCAGGGCCTCCTGCACGCAGGACAAGTACTGTGTCATTGGAGCCACCTCCCAAGCTGGGCTTTTGGGCTCCTGTGATCCTCCTGCCTCAGCCTCTAGAGTGCTAGACTGGGTGTGTACTACCATGTCCATCTGTTTCTGTGTGTGGTACTGAACTACTTTCCCAGCCCTTTTTATTCTGAGACAGGGTCTTGCTAAGTTGCTCAGACTGGGCTTGCATTTGCCATCCTCCTGCCTCAGCCTCCTGAGTGCTGGGGTTTCAGGCATGTGACAGAAGATCTGGGTAAGACCTAGGGTGCTATGATGCTGCTGGACCAGGAGGGCACCTTGAGCAGCAGATTTTCAGGTGGAATCGTCTGATGAATGGGAGGTACAGAGGTGCTGCATCACCGCCCAGCCCAGGTGTTGGTTCCTGGCTGAGTCCTGTGCTGGGGGTGGGGACAGTGGGCAGCCAGGCGCTGCGCTCTTACCCCTCTCCCTGCATCTGAACATGGGAGTCGGCACCCCGCCCCTTCCTCCTCCACACACAAGGCCATCCACTGACTGCCCAGCTGCCTGCAACACTGACTAAAACCTTTGGGGAAAGGGGAGGGGCGCACTGCCAAAGGATCACACAGCGGTGTACACAAAGCTTTTACGGTTTATTTTCCCTCAGGTTGGAGAGGCATCTTAACATGCATGCAGTTTAAAACAGGAACAGGGTCTCGAACTGTTCAGAGCAGACATTAGACAAGCACAGGGGGCTGAAAATTCCTATTTAAAAAATGGAACTTGCAGTGGGAAACTGAGAGGTCACACGTGCTGGGTGGTGGCTTCTCCTGCCCCCCAGAGCATGACCAGGAACTTTGTTCATGATGATCAGACCCCGTGCTTGGGGTGCTGAGCAGCATGGGCTCCCCAAAGGCTGCGGCAGGGCAAGGCCACGTCTAGAAGCTTCCTCCCCAGCCTCCCTCCGGCGTCTCAGCGCACCCTGTGGAGCTGGCTGAGTGGCTGAGTCTCCATTCCCCGTGAGGACACCCTTGCTGTGTGGCACATCTAGAGGACGGCTGGGCCACGTCACTCTCGTGCAGACACTGGCAGACTGGGGGTGCTGTCCAGATGTTTCTCTTTGAGGACCCCCTCCCTCACTGCTGCCATGAAGAGGAGAAGTCTCAAGACTTAGGGGAGCCCCAAGTCAGGGGCCAGAGCTCTGAGGGTCCCTCTGGCCCCCACACTTGAGCAGCTCAAATGCAGGGGGTGCCGACATCCATCTCTTCTGAATCACTAAGAAGACAACTGGGGTGGGACTGGCTACTGAGAAAGGCCTGGGTCTTTGGTCACCTCCCTCGGGCAGGCCTGGCCGGCTGAGCCCAAGGCCTGTGTGGGCCTGGAGCACAGGGAGCGGTGGAGGAAAGGGTGAGGAGGAGGAGCTGCCTGTGGTGGGAACTGGAGTGCCACTCATGGTGCCGGCCACAGACCAGTAACCCTGAGCTAGACGAGGACAGCGCTGCCCCCGGAACTGCTGGCCGCCTGGCTGCCCGGGCCCCACCCCAGGGCACAGGAAGGAGCCTGTGTGGGGACGCAGAGACCAGTGGTTTATTAGTGGAACACAGGCCGGGCTATCCGCCAGGGGTCTGCAGACCGGAAAAGCTGTGACCGGATGCCCTGTCAGTGGCAAAGTGAGGGTACGGAGCGGAACCCGCTCATGCCCGCCTTGGCCTCAGTCCTCGGCCGTGCCCTGGCCCGGCACCCCTGTTCTGGAGAGCCTGAAGCATTCTGGGATGACCAGGAAGGGGTTGTAGGACTTGGAGAGAGGAGGGAGCCAGAAAGGTAGGGATTAGTTCTCTTTCAGACCACAAGCCAAACAGAACATGTTTATCATCAAAACAGAGAGAGAAAACTTGTGTAAATCAAGATAAATAGTTTTTAAACATCTGGATGCCAAAAGGAATTAGCGGGCCAGACCCAAGGTTTTGAAGATAGCACGAAGAATGACCTTTTAAAAAAAAATCTAAAATCCACCAAACCACAGCTCAAATGTCTCAACCTGATCAACAATACTGTCAGAAAAACAAAAAGAGCATTTGAAACAGAATGCTACCTCTCAAAATGTAAACAATATACAAAAAAAAAAATCCACAAAAACTCCATGTTAAACAAGTTAGATACCTGGCAGTCACGTAGCGGCAGGCACCTGACACCCGGGACACAGTATGGTCATGTGACTGGGGCCGGAGGCAGCAGGGCCTGGTGGGGAGCAGATCAATTTCACTCTTTTTTTTGGTGCCAGGGATTGAACTCGGGACCTTGCACTTGCCAGGCAGTCGGCAGAACCACTGAGCTAAATCCCTGGCTCCCAATTTCACTCTTGGTTATGAGGTGGGGAAACCGAGTCCAAACATTCTTCCTATGTGATTCTCTTCTCCATGGGCCGAGTGGTTCCAAGTGCTTCTGCAGTCGTCACTCAGAGCCACCTCTGTCCTCCCTGGAGCCAGGGCAGTGGTCTGGCCTTTGCCCATTCTGGGGAGGGCGGACGGGGTCCCCCTAGTCCTGCAGTCCAGCAAGGTCCTGGCCACCTATGGGCCAGGTGGGCAGGACACAGCTGCTGCAGCAGGCAGAGCGGGCCAGTTGGGGCCTGTCCCTTCCAGTGCTGACTGTACCCCTCTGGGTCACCCATCAGTGTCACCCCCTCTCGCGAGGCCCCGGTTCCAGTGTGGGGCTGGGGCAATGTCACTTCTCTGAGCAGACTGGCTACTCCAACTGCAGCAGGACAACAGGCTCTGTTCTGAGGGCCGGGGCTCCGAGGATGGGAACCCTGAAGGGACTCGCGATCCCACTCTTCCCTCCCAGGAAGCCACAGTCTGGGGTGAGGGGCTGGGTGGGGTCAGACCCCAAGTCAGACCTCGAGTGACTCAGAAGCGACCCCAGGCTTGGCCGCCACACCCAAGGCGAGGACTTGTTGCTGTAACTGTCCAGGTGAGAAACCTCGGACTCGGAAGCCTGGGGCCTGACGAGGTGTCTGCAAAGAGCACCCAGCGCTTGGAGCTCCGGCCACCGGGCAGGGCACCAAGGTCATGAGGAAGGGAAGGAGGTACACACAAAACCTCACTTGATGCGGTCAGTTTCTGGGGTTTGCCACAGGGGCAGCATTTAGACACCAGGGTCCCTCCAGCCGAAGGTGCTTTCCAGTCCTTAGAGCCGGTGGCAGATAGGCTCCATGGCGAGGACGTCCCAGCTCCAGGGCCCAGCGACCCTGAGTGTGAATGATGTTCATGGTGCTGAGACGCCCACCCCCCGGAAGTGCCTGCCCCTGGGGAGGACAGCCCTGGAGGAAGGTGGAGGAGTAAAGACTGAGCATTTCACCTGAATGCAGAGCGGGGCGGTAAAATGACCCACGGTACTCCGTAACATCAGAGCTAGTCTGGGTACAATGGATGGCAGCAGGGCCAAGGTGGCTGAGGGGCCTTGTGCTGGGCTGCTGGGTGACTGACAGAAGGGGAGAGGGCGGGCGGATGGGCTGGGGGCTGGCCCGGGTGATGACACAGATCATGATTAGGAGCAACCTGGAGCAGCCACACTTCAGAATCAAAACCCAGATAAACCCCCAAGTCACTCTAGCCCAAGGTGTCTTTAAAGGTGACAAGGTACGAAAATGGGCAAATTGAGGGTTAGCAGAAGGTAAGGGCCACTCGTGCACGTTGAGCACACGCTGCCCCTCCTCCCTGGCTAGAGCAGTGTCACAGGCTGCAGTGTTACCCCTCTGCCCCACCCTCCCTGCGCCCCAGACACCTGGCCCTCGCCCTCTCCCAGCCCCAACTCCATGCTCGCTCGGGCTCCCTCCGGCCAAAGTCTCAGGTAACTACGTCAGGATGTTGGACATGAACTCGTTGAAGCGTTTGGAATACTGCTCGGGGTTCACAGTCGAGATCTCGGCCCCCGCCTGCAAGACAGAGTCGGGGAAGGGTCAGCTCCGCCTCCTGGGGTGGGAGGCTCCACTGGGAGGAGCCTAGCTCTTGGGGGCCTCTTACTTGGTGCCAGCGCCACCAGGAAGGGGCTGGAGGGAGTCAGAACTTCCTGGCCCCACTCCCCTGACTCAGGCCCAGGCACTGAGGTGGAGGTGGAGGGTGGGAGGCGGCGAGGGCTCGGGTCTCTGGGGAGGACACCGCTCGGAGGACAGTGGCTTCACGCCCGTGGGGACGGAAACAGCTATTCCTGGCAGCTCAGCAAGAGGCACAATTTGCCCAGCAGCCCCATGGGACGGGAGCCGGAGGCAGGGCCTGGTGGGCCAAGAACCAGGAGAAAACAGGTTGTGTCCCGCCAGCTGGGGAGGAGGGGCAGGCAGCCCAGAGCAGCTGTGAAAGCCGCCGGCCCTGGCGTGGCGTGGGAGCCAGGCCCCGCGGGGACAGAGAGCTCACCCCGTGCTTCACCGTTTTGGCAGCATGTGCGGCTTTCTTCTTGGCATCGTACGGCGTGAGGATGTCAATGATGGCCATGAAATAAACCTCCTTCTTGGGGGCACCTGGCGGACGAGGGAGGCGGGCGGGAGGACGGCGGCAGGGAGAAGAGCAGAGCTGCGTGCCCCCGAGCCCCTCCACATCGGGCTCACGTCAGCCCTGTCACACTGGCGCCATGAGGGACCAGCACGTCACACCCGAGCTCTGCTCTTCCTCTCCCGGGGTACTTCGTACAGAACCCGGGGCCTTCACCCCAGCTCCGCCCCCCGCTCTCCTGCCTCAGCCTCCCAGAGAGCTCGGCTGACAGGAGTGCACCCCACCGTATCTAATCTTCACGGCTGTGCTGCGCCCAGGGCAGAGCCCGCCTCAGTGGGCACTGGGGTGGACCCGAGGGCCGAGGCAGCGGCTGGGGAGCGGGCAGCCGGGCCCGCGCAGGCGGCTACTTACTTTCGTGGCTCTTCATGGCGTAGACGTCAACCGAGGGGTCAAACTCCCCAGGCCCGAAGAAGCGGGGGCAGCCGAGCAGGTTGCCGGGGCTGTCGGGCGGCGTCCCGTAGGAGCAGAGCAGGCCGCCAGCACCGTCCTCACACTCCTCGTCCTCCGCCCGCTCCTCCACCTCCACCTCCTCCTGCTCGGCGCGCTCCACGTCGTGGATGCCCACCAGCAGGCTGTAGTCCATAATCTTCAGCTGCGCCAGGAACTGGGGCGGGGTGGGGCGGGGCGGGTGGGAGAGGGTTAGGGGCAGCCCCTGCAGCAGGGCGGGGGAGGGCGCTGCGGGTGGGCGGGGCGAGGCGGGGTGGGGGGGGCAGAGCCCCGCCGGGCAGAGGCTGCAGGGCAGAGCGAGGAAGCTGAGGCCCGGGCGGGACCCAGCAAAGGGGACGGTGCCCTGTACTGCAGAAGAGGCGCAGAGGGCTTGAGACTGCGAGTCTAGGGCTGTCGGGAAGCAGCGAGTGGCGCACGCGGCATTGCCGGGAACGAGTCCAGCCACCAGTAGCCCCGTGCCAGGCTTCTGCCTAGCCACAGACAGACCTGCAGCACCAGGAAACTGGGCAGCACTGTGCTGGGGACCGAGGAGCCCGTGACAGCACCTAAGGGCTCTGCGCTTCCCGAACACTGCAAGCTCCTTGATGGGGTCCAGGACACCCGCCCCTGTCAGCTGCTGGGGACAACTACAGAGCAGCACGCAAGGGAAACAGAAGAATGGAGTGAACTGCCTGGAACTCACCAGACAGCCAGAGCAGAGAGAGGCAGGAAAGGGAGGAGAGAGACAAACTGAACATCCGAGATGAAGGAATGCAGGGGAGATCACAAAGGCTTCCTGGCCAAAGGAGTTTTGGACAAACATGCGGCTAGGCATGGGCACATGCCTCAAACCCCTGCTGCATGAGAAGCAGAGGCAGAGGGGTCCAAGTTCGAGCCCAGCCCAGAAAACCTAAACAAACCCTGGTTCAAATTCAAGTTTAAGAGGGTTTTGTGTGTGTGTGTGTGTGTGTGTGTGTGTGGCTGAGTGGTAGTGTCCAGGGTTCAATCTCCAGTACAGAAGGAAACAGAATTTGAATACATGGTCCACAGGTGAACCTTGAAGTCACCTGCCAAGAGCAATGAGGCCACCACAAAAGGAGGGCCAGTGCAGGAGTCCACTCGGGGACAGCGTAGGGAGCGCCAGCCAGAGGCTGGGGCGGGGAGCTTTTCCTCGGAGACCGTTTCGGACAAGGAGATGGAAAAGTTCCGAGATGGAGGTGGGTCATGGTTGTGTAACAGGGTGAACATATCAATGCCACCAAACTGTGCCCTTAAAGTGACAGGTATTATTGCACAGATAGTTCTTGACTTTCAACGGGGTAACATCCAGTAGACCCATCACAGGAGCAAAGACATCACTGCACTCCATACACAAGTGAACACAGCCCCGCACGGGGCCGGAACACGTGAGCAGCCCACAGGCGGACAGAGCCACCTGGCCAGAGCCCTCTCATCAGAAAGCGGTGAAGGGTCACGAAATCTCTCCACTACTGGACAATGCACACAGAGCACTGGCCGTGGGCACCAGGACCGCATGGCCAAGTGGATGCCCGGAGGCACTGGCCCAAGCAAAGATCACAATTTAAATGTGTTTCACTTTGTACCACTGTGAAGTTGAAAACTAAGCCAAACCATCACAAGTTGGGGCCTATCTATATTTATAGTAAAAAAATAGTGCCAGGGGAGTGGCGCTTGCCTGTAACCCTAGCTGTCTGAGAAGCTGAGGCAGGCAGGTCCCAAGCTCGAGGTCAGTCTGTGCAACTCAGCAAGACCTGGTCTCAGAATCTGAAAGTATACATCACCTCTCGGCCTTCTGACTGAGATCAGGTATAAAATCTAGAAGTATAAAACGTTATGTACAAGTACAAATTCCATATGATGAATGCTATCACTATGTGATTTTAAATTTTTATTTAAATTTAAATACTTAAAGTCAATAATTTAAAATTGATTTTTAATTTAAATTTAAATATTTATATTATATATATATAAAGGTCTGAGATGTAGCTCAGAGCAAAGGTCCTCGGTTCAATCTTCAGTACTACAAAAAAACGTAATTTAAAAAAGTTTGTAGGGTTTGGTTTTTAATGAGCAGGCTCCCGATTTATTAAAAGAGAAGGTTGGGGCCGGGATTTAGCTCAGTGGTTTCGTCACCTACTGCGAAAGCGGAAGGACCCGAGTTTGACCCCCGGTACAAAAAAAAAAAAAAAAGAATACCCTGTTGGAGTGGGGATTTAGCTCAGTGGTTTCACTGCCTGCCTCGCAAGCGCAAGGTCCCAAGTTCGATCCCCGGTACCAAAAAAAAAAAAAAGAGAGAAGGTTGGGGATGGGATGTAGCTCAGTGGTAGCACAGTTGCCTACCACACACAAGGCCCTGGGTTCAAGCCCCAGCTCCAGACAGGCCAGAGCTGTGGGCCAGGTAGACGGCACGCTCAGAATCCAGCGCCGTCCTCCCGCAGGACCCTCTCCGTAGGGAGCTCCACTGCCCTGAGGCTGCTGGGAAGTGGGGACTCCGCCAGGGCCAGAGCCAGCCCGTAGGGGAGCCTAGCAGCTGGTGTCCTGACACCCTGCCAGTGATGGCGATGCCACCAGAGGGGAGCTGGGAGATGTCAGAAGGGAGGGACACGGACGGAGTGGGGGAAGCGCTGCACACTGTTCACGGGCGTTGCCCTGGCAAGGACATGTGCTGCTCCTGCCACGGCCCGCTTGCCTCTGTGCTCTGGAAGGAGGTCTCGGAGGCACCGCTCTGGGTGCTGGGGCAGGGTGCGGTCGGGGTCAGCGAGTACCTCCACGTCCCGCTTCAGCTTTTCCAGGAAGTTCTTTTTACTCTCCTCTCCCACGTGCAGCTTTTGCCCCTCGTTGAGGAAGTCGTTGTCTTTGAATGTGGGCAAGTCCTTGGCCTGGGACAAAGTCAGCAGCATTAGGCAGCAAGCTGAGCCCCTGGCCCGCTGCGGGCTGCGGCCAAGGGGAGCGAGAGGAGGGGCAGCCCTGGAGGGAACCATGCGCCCAGGTGCTGGGCGCGCAGGGACAGCAAATCTGTGGCCTGTGTGGGACACAGGACTGGGCAAGGGCCCTTTCCCGCCAAGCTCCCACAACCAGGGCTCAGGTAGCCGCCAGCCTATGGCGCTGGACTGGGACGTGGGACCTGTCTGGCCCGGCAGGGTAGGAAGAAGCCAGCAAGGGCAGGGTAAGGGCGGAGACCCAGGCCTGGGCCAATGGTGACAGGCTGCGTGTCTGGGAGCCGGGCCAGGGGTTCCCCAGGGGGAGGGACAGGAAGCCACAGATGTTTCTGACCCGAGCGACCTTCCCCATGCTCCATGCCAGCATACCTTCTCCTTGTCACTTGCTTCTCTGGCGACAGTAGAGCCCTGCAAGGACAAGAGCCATCAGGAGATGTCGTTGTAGGTGAGCAGAGTGGGGGCCGGTAGTGTGGAGGAGCGGGGCAGCGACCTGTCCACCACCCTGCCACGGCCACTCACAGCACTGACTGCCCAAGGGACACGGCCAGTGCTTGGCGAACAGAAAGTGCCAGATGGAGACCTGTGGTCTCTGCCATTGACCAGGAACTGTCCCTTTTTTTGCTTTTTGAGACGCCCAGGCTGGCTTTGAACCCCTGGCAGTCCTCCTGCCTCAGCCTCCCGAGTGCTGGGACTGCAGGTATGGCCCAGCACGCCCAGCTTGGACAGGGATGTGCCAGGAAGCAGCGGCTACACTACCATCACTCACTCCCAACAATGACAATGGTGCTACGTGGTGCAGGCAGAGACACTAACACTCGGAAGCAGGACTGACCAGCCCTCAGAAGGCAGGGAGGGGCCCAATGGGGCAGAGCCAGGAGGGCACAGGTGCTGCAAGGACACAAAGCAAACCATGCCTCTGAGTGGAGGGAGGGGACAGCAGCAGTGTGAGGTACCCTGGCCCAGTGCGTCCTGTCTGTGCTGTCACTCCACAGACCCGGCCAGAAGCCAGGGTGCGTGTGTCCGCAGGGCCCGTCCCCGCCCCACTGCCCAACCCACAGCCAGTCGAAGAGCATGGCCTGTCACCTAGGTAAGGGACACTCAGGGCTGCAATAACCTCTCCTCACCACCACCTGGACTTCAAACGACCTTCGGTCCCCACGACCTCGGCGTGTGGACCCCAGAGCCACCGTGGATCTGGGAAGCGGAGCTTTACCTTGAGGTCGTACTTGCGGTGGACAGTGAGCCGGTGGCTGAACACGTTCCTGGTGACCACCATGTAGGTCTCCACGCCGTCCACGGTCAGGCGGTACATGCCCAGGAACTGCGGCAAGAGGGTGCTGCCGTGACACTCCACAATGAACTGGAAGGGAGGGCGGAGGGGAGGGCTGCGGACCTCCAAGCACCGGGCCAGGGCCGTTCGCGCCAGTGGGTGCCCCAGCGGGTCTGTGGAGCAGCCGGGTCCTGGGCCCACGCGTGCAGTCCCTGGGATCCACACGGCACACGCAGTCCCCTCCCACCTACTCAGGAGGAAGCCACGCCCCAGGCCTCTGTGGGACCCAGGGCCAGAAGCTCCTGTCACCACTGCTCAGGTGGCCCCGCTATCTCCTCTGCTCCAGTGGAAGCAGATGGGGGGGAGGCATGGCAGCTGGGACCCCACCGCGTCCCCCCCGTCACCCTGGGAGCCCGCCATACCTGGTGGTACTTCTTCAGGATGTTGTGCATCTCGGCCACGTCCTCACTGGAGACGGTCTTGATGACGAAGCGCCGGTCGTAGGTGGTGAGGAAACGCGTGCCACACCGGCCCTGACTGTCACTGTTGATGGGGGCGCTGCGTGTCACCGAGTTCTGAGGGACCAAAGGAAAGCAGCGCGGGCTGCACCAAAGCCACCGCCAGCCAGGACTCCGACTCCAGGGAGCCCAACGCTCCCCTTCCCTGTTGCTCCTAAGCCCCGCCCCAATCCCAGACAGCACCAAGTGGGGTCCTGACCCTGCCTCTGTTCCTACCCCAGAGAGCACCCACAAACCATGGCAGCCTGAGCTGCGGGCAGCTGGGCTCCAGCCCTGGCCTCACAGCCTGGGGGCATCCTGACCCTGGGAGCGGCCACTCGTCTGCCCTCTGAGTCGCCATCTGCGCCACAAGGGGGCGGAGTGAACGCCCCATCGCCTGAGTGACACAGACCACGCCCCAGAAAGGGCAAGCGGACAGCATCCCACGGTCCGGTCCGTCCTGCCGGGCGCTGGAAAAGCCTCCCAAAGCAGGAGGTGGCCCCTCATCTCCACCCACCATGCCCTGCACCCTGCTGTCCCTGCCTCTCCTCAAGCAGGCAGCGAAGGGGCAAGTGGACCAGGGCAGGTATCACCGAGCAGACCTCTGGGAGACCCCAGCGGGCCCCAAACCCGACTACACCACATCACAAGGATCGGCTCACAGAAATGTCCAGCCTTTTCCTCATCTCTCACTGATTTAATATGGGGTCTCACTGTTGCCTAGGCTGGTCTACTGGCCTTGAACTTGAGATCCTCCTGCCTCAGCTTCCTGCGTGCTGGGATCACAGGCACGCAGCACTGCACGCAGCCTAGCGTTCCCTTTACCGTCACCTAACACCTCCTCCAACTCTGTGAAGGACAGCGCAACCTTCACGGGGCAGCTAAGTCTGAAGGACTGAGGGGCGCCGGGTGTCCCTTGGCAAAGGAACAAGATTAGAGGAGCACCTTCAAAAAGGGTGTCCTTGGTGAGGAGAGGCCGAGTGGCTGCCGAGGTCCCCCTCTCCCTGCCTGTCCCTCCTTGCGCCCCCCAGGCTCCAGCACCATTTTCAGAACTCTGAGTCACCTCCCACCTCCTCCCGGAGCAGCAGCCTCCATGCCTCATTTCCGGCTTGGGCGCAGTCAGGTCCCAAGATGCAGAAACTGAGGCTGTGGCAGCAAGGGGCCGGGCAGGCGCCCCACCATGTCGGCTTGGGACAACAGCTCCGGGCCAGGCCGCTCAGCTGGGGAGTGGCCCTCAGAGGGGCTGCAGGGACCTCCCCTGCCAGTGCCACAGCAGAGGCCCTGGCGCCCGACCCCACCCCCGTCAGGGTCCCTACGTCCCATGCAGCCCCCTCTGCGGGCCCAAGTCAGCTGTGCTCTTGCTGGCTCAGCTCCGCCACCCTTGCCCGGCCTGGTAAGGGGATTCTTGCCTCCCGATGCTCCGGTGGTTTCAATGCCAAGGCCACCCCTGCAGGGGCACTGCCCTGCCATGCCTGCACTCCCATCAGCGGGGTGGGGACAGGTTCAGGAGCGACACTCATACCTGGTGAAGAGCTACACTGCCCTGAAGTCTTCCTCCACTACTCTGTCTCATTTGCTTTAAGGGGGCTCATCTCGCTGGCACCCACGTTCTCAATTAAGTCAAACTATGAAGGAGAGTTCTTCGGCCTAGACTGGGGGCGCGACTGGATATAGCAGTGGCCTGGCCATCCCTCCTCCCAAGGTGCCGCCCTGGGACAGGGACCAGGCCTGGGGCTGACGTGCTAGGGCAGGGAGGTGCAGTGCAAGGACAGCGACACCTTCTCCTCTACCTGTCCTGTGGCTTCCTGAGCCCCCCGCGCGCCCCTCTAGCCCTGCCAGACAGTGACGCCCATACCTGGTAGTCCTGGTCATCGATGCCAAAGCGCTCTCGGAGGTTGCGGAACACCATGGGGCAGTACTCCTTGAACTTGAAGCGGCTGGGGAGGTTCTCCCTGGGGAGGAGCAGAGCCTAGGCTGGGTGCCTGCCCCTTGGCTCGGCTCCCCTGTGAGCCATCTGCTCTTTTCTGGACTTTCTTTTTTGCTGTGCTGAGGATGACCCCTGGGCCTGTGCATGCTAGGCCAGTTCTGTACCACTGAGTAACATCCTCAGGGAAATGGCCCAAGGCAGCCCTGAGTTTGGGATCCTTCTGCTTCAGCGTCCAGGGTAGCTGGGAGTAGCAGGGATTACTGGTGTGAGCCACCATGCCCAGCCCTGGATCCCTGCCTGCCCTCCTGCCCTGGTCCAGAGCTGTCTCACCTTCCTTAGAAGGCCACTTAACACATGGCAGCTACAGAGACAGAGGGTTTTTAGAACAAGATGCTACTATTGTGGATGGCAGAGACCACTAAGCTATGTTCTCAGGTTTTTTATTTGTTGGCATATTTTGTTTTTGTTGTTGTGAAACAGGGTCTCCCATGCAGCCCAGGCTGGCCTGGAACTCGAAGCAATCCTCCTGCCCTGGCTAGGATTACAGGTGTTCCTACCACGGCTGACTACTAAGATACGTTCTGAAAGTGAGCTTTCCCTCCAGGCAGGTAGAGAGGGGCTGGAGACTGCAGGAGTGTGGGGAGGCCAAGGGGACGTGCACAGGGAGCAGAGTGGGCGACAAAAGCTCCCGGGCCACCCAGAGTGTGGGCAAATGGCTGCAGGAGTCTCCAGCAACAGGCAACCAACAGCTAAGACACCTCCAGTGCAAGAAGCCCCAGGGACAGAGATGGGGACAGTGACTTCCGGTGGCGCACCTGAGCGCCAAGCTCAACCCACTGCTCCAATGCAGGCCTGGGAGCGAAGGGCCAGGCTGCATCCCAAGCCAGGAACACCTGGCTGTCACAGCCAAGCGACAGACCCCAAGGGACACTGCAGGGCAGCCAATCAAGGAGGCCACAACAAGACAGTGTGGGGACAGGAACAGCATACATGCTCTCCCGGCCGTCTGTCAGCCCTGTACACCGGGCGTCGCAGCTCCACCTGACACGCTGGCCGGCCCACTCCTGAGCCCACGGAGCCACTTACTTATTGAAGAGGTGATTGTCCACCTTGATCTTGCTGTAGGCTTTGAAGTCATCTGGCATGAGCATGACAGGGACAGGGACATTGCTCAGCTCATTGATCTGCAAAGCGAGGGGATGGGGAGGTTACTGGCCAGGACTCCATGCTACACACAGAAGTGCCGGCCGTTCTCGGATTCCCGTTCCCTTCCTAGCTGGTCCTGGTTGGCAGTGAGTCCCCCGATCTCCTTGGCCCCTAAGGGGCAGCTCCCCCACAAAGCCCTCCAGGACTGCAGACAGTAAGCACCCTCCTCCCGGAAGCCCCTTGCTGGCTGGACCTCGGCTCCCACTACCGAATCACCATCTTTCCTGGCAAGGCTCCAGTGACCTGTGGGCTCTGCAGCACTCAGCGCAGTGGGCGCACGTGGCCGCCACTCAGTAAATATCTGTCCAACGCAGTCCCAGAGGGATCAGTGACTCAGCGTCCTCCAACCTGGGTGCCCTTTGTTAATTAAAGTCTTTGAAGATCTTTGTGCGAAGGGTGGGTCCTGCAGAAATCAGCTCAAGGCTGGGAAAACCTGCTGGCTGGTGCGGCTGAGTAACTGGCGCCTCCCAAATAAAGGAGCACACTAAGGCCGACTGGAAGAGGCAGACACCAGTCCCAGCTCACTGGGTCCTCGCTGACAGGGGACACGGGGCAGGGCCTCATCTCTGCCACAACCTTCCCTGCGTCTCATTCCCTCCATGGAGCTGGCTTCCCGTGGAAGCAAAGCTGCCAGGGTGGATGCTGCCCTCCCCATCCCATTTAGCCAATTAAGGGTCTAATTAGCCACAGCTGTCCTCTCCAGCACTGTGGAGTCACTGACATTTGACCCTCAGCCCCGGCCTGGAGGCCACTAATGCATGCAGGCATCAGAGGAGAGTCTGGTCCCGACTTAATGCATGGGGCAGGGGCAGAGCCGGCATCTCCCAGATACTCTGCTTACAAACCCTGTTATCTAATGAGGGCTCAGGTGGCAGAGAGAAACAACCTGCAGCCATTAGGACTCCTCCAGGAGCACGAATGGGGGAAATGGCATTTAATTTGCTGTCCCTTTTATGTCCCAACCCTTTTTATTTTAGAAATGTCAGGATGGAGGAAGTCCACGTTAATGCGCTAACAAAGGGACCACAGCACGCAGAGCCGGGGAAGGCCTGGCCTGGGGCACTCAGGGACCAGGAAGGCAGAGCAAGGCACGCGTGTGGAGGGGGCAGTGGGACAGAGATGCGACAGACTGCTGCCAAAGGCTGATTGGGGGCACACAGAGTGCAGCCTTCGGGGCCCCAGCTCTACACGAGTCGAGAACAGGCCGCCTGCGAGGGCTGGGGTAAGGGGTAGACAGAAATGTTCTGTGTTGTCTGGGGTGATGGTTACGTGGGTAACACTGTTGTCCACCTGTGAACTGAAACTCGTCCATGCATGTGCGCGTCAGTATTTTGTGGTACAGGGAGTGACCCCAGAGCCTTTGCACTGAGCTGTATCTCTAGCCCTCATTTTTTTGTTGTTTTTTTTGGTACCAGGGATCGAACCCAGGACCTGCACTTTGGAGGCAGGAGGCAGCACCACTTAGCTAAATCCCTGGCCCTCCAGCCCTCTTTTTAACGTTCTGTATTTTGAGATGGTCTCGCTAAGGTGCTAAGACTAGACTCAAACTTTCAGTCCTGCTCAGCCTCCCAGAGTTCTAGATCACAAGTGTGCACCCCACGCCTAGCAAAATGTGTGTGTTTTACTGCATGTGAATCGTCCTCGACTTTCAGCACACCAGTCTGTGATTTCTCCACTGGCCAATCCCTCCCCACGGCCACGAGGAGAGCCAGCCAGGGAACCAAGGGACTGTGCTGTCAAATCTGTGCCTGCAGAAGAAACCACTCCGCTGCGCTGTCGCTGCCAGCAGAAACAATGGGTGCTGGCGATCCCACTTCCTTTCTCCTGGCATCTCGAGCCCGGCTCTGAGTTAAAGGGGAAGCAAGACAACAGGGTTGGGGCTCTTTTCCTAGCTCATCCTTTGTACTACAAAGAACACAGCCCTGGCTCTGAGAGCAGCACACAGTGACCAAACTGTTAACACACCTGCTACACATCCACTCAGGCTTAGTCTGGGACCCAAAGTCAGTGCCAAAGCCACAGCCTGATCCTGGGACAACTAGAAAAAAATAAAAATACCCTCTCGGGAGGCCGCCTAAGGGGAGCTACTAAGGAAGGCTCTGTTCATCAATGTTGTTGTTGTACTTTTAGTGCAACAGTTTAAAGGACTGTACACTGGTCAGCTTTTAGCTCACTTCACTTTATACCCTTTTCTTTCCTCTTCAGTAACGGGGATTGAACCCATGGCCTTATTCTACTGCTGAGCCACATGCCCAGCCCTTTTTTTTTTTGGTACTGGGGATTGAACTCGGGTCCTTGAGCTTGCACAGCAGGCAGCAAAACCACTGAGCTAAATCTCCGGCTCTCCAGCCCTTTTTAAAATTTTGAGACTGGGTCTCCCTACAGTACCCAGGCTGGGCTCTAACTTTCGATCCTCCTGCCTCAGTCTCCAAAGTAGGTGGGATCATAGGCGTGCGCCACTGTGCCCAGCCTGTCTTTATTACTGACTACACAACCCAGTAACAGCAAACTTTTAATTCAGACAGTATAGAATAATCCATAAAATGAACAATCCTCTCTCAACCCCACCAACTCACCCTTTGTGTCCACTATAAGTGACTTACTCTAGAGCTCAGCTATAGTTTTAGTCTATTTTTTTAGCTATGCTAAATTTTTTATCCCCAGAAGAGCCGGATTCAATTTCAGCTGAACAGTATTTACTGCAATGGGTACTAGATGCCTCGCTGTGTCGGGGTGTGCAGAGGGCGCTGGGGGGTGTTGTGCACATGAAAGAAGCAGATGACACAAGCCCACAGCGTCTCAATTCCACGTCACGTCAAGGCGGTGCTCGGACAGTGAGACCGGCAGAGGTGCACAGGCTCGGGGCGGACTCACTCATGGCCACACCACAGAGGCCTCTCTTGGCCCCGCCAAGAGCACCTGCCCTGGGAGAGTCTGGGCAGGATCGCCCTACACTCCTGCTCCAGGACCTCCTGCTCCTCTGAAACCCCAGGGGAAAGTCTGAACTCCTTCACCTGGTAGCCAACACCTCTCCTGATCTGGCTTAGCCTTGGACAGCTTCCCCTCAATTTATGATCCACTGACACTGGCCCAGGAGGTGGAGACAAGGCCTCCATTTGGTTTGGAGAACAGATAATGAGATGAGTGCTACAACTGCTTTATGTATAAGGGGAAATGAAAAGCAGATTAAGAAATGCTTGGTTCAGCTGGGTGTGGTGGTGCACACCTGTAGTCCCAGCACTCAGGCGGCTGAGACAGGAGGATCACAAGTTCGAGGCCAGCCTGGGCTACACAGTGAGTTCAAAGCCAGCCTGAACTACATAGCAAGAGCCTATCTCAAAATTTAAGAAAAAAAAAAAAGAGAGAGAGAGAGAAATGCTTGATTCTAGCCAAGCATGGTGGCTCATGCCTGTATGCCCAGCCTGAGGGAGGCTGAGGCAGGAGGATTAAAAGTTCAAATCCCACCTGGGCAATTCAGAGACTGTTAGTCTCGAAGTAAAAATAAATAAATAAAAAGGGCTGGAGATGAGTACTGCAAAGACAAATGTTAAGAGGGGCGGTAGCCCGGGATTTAGCTCAGTGGTGCTCCCGCCTGCCTCAAAATCACAAGGTCCTGAGTTTGATCCCCGATACCAAAAAAAAAAGGGGGTTGGGGGAGAAATGAGTGATTCTGGCTGGGTACAGTGTCTACCTAGCATTCACAAGGTCTTGGATTCTATCCTCAGCAATGCAAAACAACTACAAAAAAACGTAACAAGAAACGACAGATTGGGCCGGGGATTTAGTGCAGTGGTTCCGCCACCTGCCTTGAAAGCACAAGATCCTGAGTTCAATCCCCAGTACCAGAAAACAAAAAAACCCAACAGATTCTGCTGCGGAGTGGGAATGCTGGGGCTGCTGCTAGAAGCAGCTAGAAAGGCATTTCAGCAAGGCTGAAGATGGTAGCTCTCCGAGGATCGCAAGGGTGGGGAAGCCGGGCCAGGGCAGCCAGACCAAGCCTCCGGTGGTGAAATCTCGGGCACACGGGGCCACAGCTGCGGAGGTCAGAAGTCATAGGCGTGGGAGGTACGGCAGGAGAGGGACAGGTGACCAGCCCAGTGCGCTGCTCAGGTTAGCAAGCCAGCAGGCGCCCCGATGTCCCAACGCCTGAGGCAGGGGCTTTCTGCCACCGCCTATCACACACATGCAGCTCGTGATCTGCTCAGTGCCAGGGTTCCTGGGGCTCAGCGGTCACAGAAGGCATCACTAATGCGACTGTGCCCAAGCACTTCAGAAAAGCCAGCCGCAGAGCATGTGCGGGGCTGCAACCCAGGCCCACCTGTCTCTGGCCAAAGCCCAGGCTCTTGTGCTGTGCTGCCTAAGGTAGTATTTTCCATTCCTTGCCTCTATTCTGATAGTGCCTCATCCAATAACAGCAAGGAAAGCGTTATACTTTCTTTACAGGAAGTCAAAATTAAGCTCAGGAAGAAACAAAATCAAAGTTAAACAAAAACAACAAAGAACTGCCCTGAAGCATACTATTTATTTATTTGCTTATTTATTTATGCCAGTACTGGCAATGGAGCCCAAACAACCACTCACTTCTGGTTGACACCCCACTTCCCAAAGCACATTATTAATCAGAGGCAGAGCCCAGGTCTCCACTTGGGTTTGTCCATTCCGCAGCGACTGGCCCTGACTGTGCAGCAACAGGAAGCCTCTCGGGTGTAAGTCCAGTAGTCCACAGGCAGATGGGTGATGTGGAAAGGTAATTCTGGGGTGAGAAGCAATTAAGGACTAGAACAGGGAACAAAGCTTCCAGGCTGTTTGCAGGGCCATTAGGATAGGCGCTAGTGGGAGAGACCACAGTGGTAGGAACAAAGGGACCAGCCGTCCTCCATCCGTGGGACTGAATGACAGGTGTGCCTGCCTCCCCAGGCCAAATCACCAGTCCTCCCTGCATCTCAGCATTCTGAACATCGAGTCACAGGGCTATCTT